CCCAAAAAAAAAATAAAAAAAAATAGGCCAAAAATATTTTGGTAAAAAATATATTTACATAAATATATTTTCTCAGTTCAAGTTCATGAGCAGTTCTCACCCTCGTCACACTGAGTGTCCTCTAGACAGAAACTGGCCTTGTGACCCTCTGCCACCTTGGTGCCGTTCAGACTCAGCAGATCATAATGGGTAAAAACCTCTATGCTGTGATAATGCCTGCACAGAGTCACAACAAAACAACAGTATGGGACTTTAAACATCGTCACATTGGCACAAATGATTTTGTAACATATCTTCATATATGTGTTTGTCTTTTCTTTCTGGTGTTTACTGAGGGGTCTAAGGTCTTGCCTGTGACACTCGTGCCAGGTCCAGGCGTGGTAACCCAGTTTGGGTCTGAAATCTGATTGGCCAACGTTGTGGATCTGTGAGGAGAAGCGGAGCAGGCGGCGGTAGGAGCTGTGGTCGTTCTTTTTGGCAGTGCTGGACAGGCAGTTCTCCTCGAGGGCGCACTGTAGAGCGTACATGGGCCGGTCCTCCAGATAAGTGGTCTGCTCCACCAGCTGAGCGTTCAACACCAGGTCAGGAGCCGCTGAGATCAGAGGTCAGAGGTTAGAAGACATGGGACTGATGATCCATCTTAAATACTTTAAAAAAAAATAATTATGTCACAGTGGAAGTGATAGTGGAAGTGTACCTTTGGAACTGCTTTTTAGTTTACTATTACATTAAGCTTGTCAAAAAAGCAGGGAATGAAATGACTATTCTTAAGAGCATGATAATCAATAAGAGGTGATTGTCTCACTATCAGAGCAGGAGACCCCAGCAGCGAAGCGTCCTCCTCCTTTGGGGCAGCTGATGTGTTTGCCGTGATGAAGACACTGAGGAAGACTCATCTCAGTTCCTGAGCATCTGACCCCGCTCATCACAACATTATCTGCACTCGCATCTCCAGCCCAGTACCACGTCTCCTGTACAAACACACGCTACACATGAGCTGCTGAGATTATCAGAGAAATTAGGTTATTTTATTATTTATTTATTTTGCACCGTCATTAAGTTAAAATGCAACTGGTAAAATAATAATTCTGGTCTCTGAACCAGAAAAGAATCATTTGTTCACTGATTTGGTTAGACTTCAGTTTCACTCTGTTCACATCTGAGAACTATTGTAAGGAACAGAACACAAATGGACAACCTTTAATGAGCTGGTTTGGTCATTTTGTTTCTTCAATCACATCAAAAAGCAACTGAATCTGAATCTAATGTAAACCAGTGTTATTTTTTAGTATCAATGAGATACTATTATAGTTTTTAATGAATTAGCTTTTATTTTTATATTTTTATTTCAAGTTTTGTTAAAGTTTTTGTATTTTTTTTGTGTGTTTTTGTCATTCTTAATAGTTTTTTTATTTCAGATTTAGTTTTAGATATTTTAGTACATCAGTACATAAATTTTTTTAATTAATTAAAATAAGTTTAAGGTATTATATTTATTTATTTAAAATATAAATATATTTATATAAATTTATTTAAAATTAGTTTTATATCAGATAACAAAAAAGGTTTTGCTTTTTTATGGTTTCAGTTTTATTAAAGGGGTCATATGATGTTGCTAAAAAGAACATTATTTTGTGTATTTGGTGTAATGAAATGTGTTTATGCGATTTAAGGTTCAAAAAACACATTATTTTCCACATACTGTACATTATTGTTTCTCCTCTATGCCCCGCCTTTCTGAAACGCGTCGATTTTTACAAAACTCATCGGTCTGAAAAGCGAGGTGTGCACAGCGTCACACACCGCGTCCTTGAGTGAGCGGCGGCCTATAGTATGCGGAGGCCGGTTTGAGTGAGCAGAGGCGGGTGGGCTTGAGAACGGCGCGGCCGGCGGATTCGATGAAGGAGGTAGGCGTGGTTGACTCTTAACTTTTATAAAGAATATCTCTTTGGATTTGAGACTTTAGTCTTTGCAACTTTACAGATCTTCTTTATGCACCAAGAGCTTGTAACACTTCAAAGAGAAAGGAAAATTTGAAATCGCATCATATGACCCCTTTAA